CTCATGTGGACACGACAGGTTATTTGCTGTTCGGTTCCACAAGTTACCTAGAGTCCGGCTTTGAGTCTCAACATGATCTCCTGAGCTGACGAGGTTATCCCAGGAGCAGAGAGAATTGTTAGGCTGTCTAGGTCGGCTTCAAGCTCGGTTGCCTCGTTCGTAGGTCCTGCTGAGCTGTCCATTCGTCCATCTCTTTTCTTGATGCCGTCTCTCAGTCGCTGTTGGTGGCAATGGTGCTTGAGTGTCTTGCGTTTGAATCTCCAACCCGCTCGTCCATTTATTTGATTGAAGCCTTTCCGAACGATCTCGAAAGAGTGGCACCGCTATGAGTGGCGGTACTGGCGGAACACGAACCGGACTTACTAACCAACTCAATACTGACTGGTAAGGTTAAGGTTGTCAAAGACGACTTACTTTTAAAGCGATTTCTTTGAAAACGCGGTGATTGGGTTACTCGCCATCTGTAAGGTGGTCAAAAAGAATTCGCTAGTCGACTTGACGCCGCACTGTTGAAATATAGTAAATCCTTGAAGACACTAGACGGGTTTCGAACGTTTGATCATGCGGGCAGCTACAAGAATGTGGGGGAGCGAATAAAAAAAAACATCTGACTACCCGCAACAAGAAGAATCTGGCTGACGATGATACGGTTCATCCAGTGTTATCATCTAAACGGGAGGGTGGAAGATAGTCCCGTATCTACTTGAGAGACGCATCTGATAAGTACCAAGATACTGCCATACTACTACTAATGAAACCCCACGCTGACAACCCAGGGAAGATCTCTTCAATAGGCATGAATTCCAGACTTGGTCAAAAATTATTGCGGACGCCTTTCCGGATAACCCAAAAATAAGAGCTCGCATAAAGGTGATCGCACTACAGAAACTATACCGCAAGAGTCTTTAAGGACAAGTTGCTGGTTGGTGGCGAAGATTTGAAAGTATCGCTGATTCGACTCAATGAGAATTTACAGTTGAGAGATGGTGACTCAAAACCTATTGGTGAGCGACTTAAAGGTAAACTCGTTGGCTAACACATTAACACTCAGGAACTACATGATGTTATCAGTTTACCTAACGTTCAGAAATTATACTTTTCTCTGCCTGAAAAGGAGGGAGAACTGCTGCCAGCGTCTTATACCATCGTTTGATGCGACAATAGATCGAATACATGCCATTGCTGACGCGTACCTTACCGCTAAAGGCGGTGCCACTGAAAAAATGTGATGAAAGAAACAGTTGACTATGTTCTGAAAGGTCGGATTAAGATACTGGAATTGGATTCAGCGATCGTCGGTCAGAGCTCCAGTTTCGACAGTTGGATAATGGGCGCAGCACCTTTGAAAGCTGACCTTACCACGTCTGTGTTGCCCACATTGCGGACGAAAGGGAAAAA